AACTCTTCTAATTGCTCGACTCGTTACACCCGAATTATTAAACCCCGCCCGCGACCTTCTGAGATCTCTCGCCAATTTAGGTGAGGAATTTTTCTCTGTAATTCTGGCTCGCGAGTGCTCATTCTTCTTCAACTTCTTCTTCTTCTTCTTCTTCTTCTTATGCTTCTTTCAAGTCTTCTTCTTCTTCTCCTTTGTCATCATCTTCTTCTTCTCCTTTGTCGTCTTCTTCTTCTTCTTCTTCTTCTTCTTCTTCTTCTTCTTCTTCTTTCTCTTCCCTTTCTTTCATTATTGGTTAATTGATGCTCGTCTGAGAGACGAAGCGTGCTCGGTATCGGCTCTCAAGATAGTACAACGTGTGACCCGGTTTTCGGCCCGGTACGCTTCGCTCGTTACATTTTCGGCACGGTCCGGAAGATCCTTTGTCTTCAGCCGTTTTCAATTCAGATTATCGAATCACGGTGCACTCGATTCACCGATTGCGCTCGCACGAGAGCTTGTAGCTGCGCCGATTATTCCTGTGTCGACCAGGTAATCCGCGAGAGTGGATTAAATAATGAAATTGATATTTTATTTATTTATCATCACTGTGAATAGTGTCTCGCTTTTACCGTGTAACACCGTAAGTGCCGGATCTTAACTATGATAATTAGATAATATAACGAAAGGAATTATTTTCTTTTTAATTTTATTTAAATAATGTGAAAATGGAGAAGATATATAAGAGAATAACCTAGTTGATGCACATTTTGGTAAAGTAACGAAAGGAAATTATACAAATTTTGTGAGATCCGATAATTAGAAAATTGCGAGAGGAACGTAAATTAAGAAATCAAAACTGTTATTTATTTATTTATAGACACTGGAAGGATCAAGCAACGATCGAGGCTGTCCTATCGATAATTCCACTAATTCAGAAACGATCGAATTTCGTCGCAATCTTCTGCGGAAAAATCCCCGAACCATATCCAAAGTTTCCAATTATCCCACCGTGATCTCAAGGTCTCGCTCCTCGAAATTATCAACTTTCTCTGTCCGTGACGTATCGGGCTAATCGTCCGGAGCGGTCCTGGGGCCGAAGGAGGGCTGGTTTATCGGAGGGGGCGACGACCGTGGACGCAACAGAGGAAAATTTGATCGAGGTGCCACTCAGCCGGGCATTTCCTCTCGATGAAAAGAAAAGGGGTGGTCGTGGGTGGAAGGGTCGGAGTCGCGGCCCTCGTCGAAGAAACAAAGGGATCGCGATATCTTTGACTGCGGCCCCTTATATAACCTCCGCGCCATTGCGGCTTCGCCTGCGATCTCCATTGTTCATTTTCCCGAGGGCTCGCTCGTCCGGGCCGTCGAGTCTTTTGAGCATTTCCGAACGATTCACGGATAATTCCCAATGCGCTTCTTTTCACCCACGTCCGCTGTTCCAGCCGTGATCCTTTTTTCCACCGGTCCTCCCTCTCGCTCCCCTCTCTCTCCTCCCGCGGAGATCTTGTCTCTGACTTTCTCTCTCTCTCTCTCTCTCTCTCTCTCTCTCTCTGTCCGTTTCTTCGTCTCCGATCTCTCACCGATGCTGAAAGAATGGCTTTCTTCTTGCCTATCGATTCCGCGAGAGAAACTTCTTTTTTCTCTCTATATCGGCCCCCGCCACCGTACTCCTTTCCACTCCATTATCCTTACTTCATCGACGCTTTTGTTTATACATTTCCCGCGCACACTTCACCCGCCCCGATATTTCCTGCAGCTTTATTTACCGAATATAAAAAGCGCGGGGGCTGTCGTAACTGCCGATTACTCCTCTTTCCTGCCCCTCGATCAGCCGGCGAATTAGCCCGCCCCGTTTAATTGTGATCGCTTTTTATTATCGAAGAGCCTTTGAAATTATTCACGGGAAACTCCTCGGTTCGCGGTTCTCCCCCGAAAATAAAACTCTCGTCCCCGTACTTAACGCACCACGCCTCTCCTTCTTTCTTTCTTTCTTTTATTATTTCTTTCTCTCTTTCTTTCTTTCATTGATAAGAGAATGCCCTTTATTATTTTCTCGGCCGTCGTTTTGCGGCACCGGCGACGGCGCCGGTGTCCTCTTATTGTTTTATCTCATTGGCTCTTCGCGGACCACTCCTGTCCTTCTCTTTGTTTGCCACCTCACCTCCCTCTCCCCCCCCCCGCCCTTTTTTTCAGTCACAGCACCAACAATTATTTCCGCGCGTCCCCTCCACAACCAACTTTTTTTACGCGTTAATAATCAACGAATTCTTTCTCCGGCGAGACTATTGTCTACGCGAAGCGCAGCGTCGCCCACGCTCGTCCACGGCACGCTTATTGTCCGCAGAGATCTTATCAGGCCCGCGAAAATTCTGCGGGATTTGAATGATAAACCGGCCGAGTCCTTGCCAAGAGATCCCGGCCGGCGATCCTTGCGGACCTTTGCATCGGATTGCGAAAACCCGGACGCGTTATCGTTTCCAATTTGAATATTGCTTGCCGGCTGGTTTCCCGCCGGCATCCCGGCTGCTGCATCGGTGCACTTATTGCCGGCTCGAACGTCGAAAAGTGTTTTAGTTTTAGGCGGCTTCTCTTCGCTCTATCTGTCGTCAACATTTCGTAATGTGGTGGTTGCTTAAAGTGTGATCGATGATCGGGCTGGGCGTTGAATATGGTTTATTTTGTTTATTTTGATACGCTACGGTGGAAACGATCTTGGACCGGATAATTCATTTTATACGAAAATAGTATGTGGTCAATATTTCCTGCTTCGTGAGATATTTAGAATTTTATATTTTAGCGTCGCCGTTGCGATCAATACCGGATTTCTCTCCGCGAAAATTTCATCGCGACGAACACTCTACATTTTTGTCATTTTTGTAAGAGAATTTTTGTACAAATTTTAATTACATGTTCTAACGAATTTCGCTGGTCTGTTAACCTTTACGCCCCTTAGTCGATCACAGTTTCTATTTATATTGTAGTCTTCTTGCAGTTTCGTTATATCCATGTGAATTTATAATAACTTTTACAATTTAACTACATTTAATTTCTGTTATTCGCGCTCAGATCGCGCACAAAAATGGACAATTTGGGAAGAAGAGGTACGATCACAGTTACCGATTGCCAACAACTATAAAAACGAGACGTAAGGCTCGATCAATCGTATCTCCTTTTCCCATATTGTCCATTTTTGTGCGCAATCTGAGCGCGAATTAGGGAAAAATTACTGTATTTACATTCGCGCGTGCTCTTCTTTTTCACCGCACTCATTCACTCGTTTCACATTGCCACTACACATTACTTACCAAAATAATTCCTTATCATCCTAGGTATGATCCTATCACTTACACGCCAGCATGCAAACAGTCTCACACATTGCAATCCTATTACAAATCTTTCATCATCCTACCCATAACCCATTCTCGTACATCTACGCACACCACTCGTACGTTCTCCACTGAAAGATCTAACTGTCCATCAGATTGGACTGTATCCTTGGCCCAGGGGATATCTGAAACGTAATATTGGACCTCTGCAGGTCCTCGCAATAACCGGATCACCTAATATCTGTGTGCAATGGCAACACACATATTCAGCAAATCCTATATATTCCGTCGAAATATTTTAGATTATTACCATTACGCTGCATCTATTTTTATACATGTACATACAATTATAGCAAATTCTGTAATAGAGCCTTAGTGCGTGATCCGGCATACCTTTAGTCATCTTACGATTAAGGACGGTCCCTTATTTACAATCGTATAATTTTTGTAACGATTATGTGATCACCACAGTACAGTAATTTCTTTCTAATTCGCGCTCAGATTGTGTGCGAGATTATTCGAGCCTCGCGGCTCGTTTTTATAGTTACCGATTGTTAACAATTATAAAAACGAGACGCGTGACTCGAATAATCTTCCCTTTCCACATTGTCGATTTTTGCGGCAATTTGCGCGCAATCTGAGCGCGAATGAGGAAGAAACTATTGTAATATGAATTAGTAATTAGTAGCGCGGTCTCACAGACCGGCAACACGTTGAGCGCAGCGTCAGCCCCCTTGGGCTGACAGTGGACTTTCCATTTGGGCGATGCGAGTCCGCTTGGACTGACAGTGTACTTTTTTTTGGACGGCGTCAGCTCCCAGGGACTGACAGCGTTTGGGCGGCATCATCGCATAGGACTAGCCGTATCAAGGTTAAAGTACAGTAATTCCTCTCTAATTCGCGCTCAGATTGTGTGCGAGATTATTCGAGCCTCGTGGCTCGTTTTTATAGTTACCGATTGTTAACAATTATAAAAACGAGACGCGTGACTCGAATAATCTTCCCTTTCCACATTGTCGATTTTTGCGGCAATTTGCGCGCAATCTGAGCGCGAATGAGGAAGAAACTATTGTAATATGAATTAGTAATTAGTAGCGCGGTCTCACAGACCGGCAACACGTTGAGCGCAGCGTCAGACCGCTTGGACTGACAGTGTACTTTTTTTGGACGGCGTCAATTCATAGGCGCTGATAGCGTTTGGACGGTATCGGCACATTGGACCGGTCGTATCAAGGTTAAATAATAATGCAGGAAACGGAATAATGCCGCCTGAACGGAAAACCCAGGAAAATCGGCTCCGCGGTTAACACGTTCCGTGCCACGTGTGCCATCCATGGTACACGCTTGCATGTTTACTTAGTGAACTGAACAAATTGTTTACAAGAAATTTAGAACCGAAGAATCAATTTCCACCGCAAGAATGGGCGTTGATAAGTTTTTGTTACGTTGTTATGTGTACGAGAATTAATAATTGCAGGTAATACATCAAGTTTTAGTAAAATATCAAAGTGTGAAGATTCGAGTAAAAAAAGCTCGGCACGGAACGTGTTAACGCGTCAAGGGTTCGACACGAGCCTTACGAGCCGGGAATGCATAAAAGTGCGCAGTGTCGCGGTGCACCGAAAACGTTAGAACGGCGCCGATTCGTCGTAGACGTCGCTGAAAATCCCATTAACATAATCCGACGAATTCTTGCAGACAATGACAAGTACCCGGACTCGCTGCTCAGCTGCAATCACGCGCTGAACGTGTGCGTGCGCGACGAGCCGTGCAGCCAAATATTCGAGGACTTCAAAAGCAACTGCAAAGCGCGGGAGGGCAAGTGCCGGATGGAGAGCCGGTGAGTGGAAACGTTCCGTCATTACCATAGTTTATTCTACTTTCGGCGATCGCCCGAGAGTGTGAGTTAGGGGAACGAGGTTCCGCGATTTTCGTCTGAAGACGTCCGTGAGCTCGCGAGTCAATATTTACGTCCGCCCATTCTCGCGGAAAAATGTTTCCCCCCGGGGTGCCCCGGGAAAATTCGCCGCGACGCGACGTTCCGTTCCGCGCAGCCCCCCGCCACCTCGGCCTATCCGCCGGTATCCTTTCATAATTCAGGTTAAAGGAAGCACGGAGTGCTCCTTTTGAATGTCAATCAAAGAAGTAAATTTCTTTGCAGCGCGTTGAATCTCGTTCTTACGGTCGCGCGCGAGCCTCCCTCTATTCAATGCTCCGCTTGAAAGAGCGAAAGCGAGACGGCCGGCGAACGAGAGACGCCTAACTTCGTCCCTTTCTTTCGCTTTGGGTTTTCAATGTCACTCGGCATACGCAGGCTCTTTCGCGGAGTTAATGCCGCTGTTCGCCGACGTTCCCTTTCTTCGCGAGGGCGAAGACGTGTGTTGCCTTTTACGCCGAGTTAATCGGTCGCTGCATCCATCCTGCGCGATTCGTGCAATCCCCTTTCTTTTCTACGCATCAGCTGTTGACGCGCGGAATTTCGTAACCCTTTGCACCCGAATCGCGACACTTGGGCATCGCTGAAGACTGCCGCGTTGTTTTTCAAAGTAGTTTTTACATTATTATTCATTCATTATTATTGTTCGATGTAGATATTGTACGAGAAAATAGTCGGAATTTCATGTGCATTCGATTCAAAAATCACGCGAAATAATTATAATATAAGTTGAAAGAAGTACTGCAAATTCTTTCTAATTTGTCTTCAGCTTGTAAACGAAAACGGACGCGCCTCGTTTTTATAAATCGTTGACAATCGGCGACTATAAAAGAGAGCCGCGATGCTCGAATAATCCCAAATTGTCCATTATTTTGTACCAGCTGAAGGAAAATTCCGGTGAATTTACTGTACCCCGATTTTTAAGCCGAAATAGCGTCGAGTACAAAGGTTTAACAATACAGCGGAACTCCGTTTACATCGACTAAACTGAACTCCATTTGTATGAAAATTAAAGTGAGTCACGTTATACGAACTACGTTTGTACTCTGTAACTAAATTTTGACAGCTATTGTTTAACTGAACTGTATCCTAATGCGAGTCCAGTTAAACGTACTTCGTTACGTAAACGTTCGCGTGAACGTGAACTTCCAACAAATGAACGAAAAATCACAGTCACCGCGGTGGGGAACAGGTGAACTCCGATCGTACGAACCGTTCGATTATGTTAACCCTTTCGCTGCGAACAGCGCCTTTTGGCGCTCGGCTATAGACACTTTCTCTCAGCGAACAGCGCCTTCTCTCTGGCGCTCGATTATTAAATTTTGTTATAATATTGTGGCGGACCAGACATAAAAAGACACGTCCTTCAAAAGCGGGGTGTGCATATGCCTTTTTCGGGTTTTCCCGACGCAAGGCGTACACACCGCAATAAAACAATAAAAACGTTGGGACACAGCTTCGGACCATAGGTCCCGGATCACCCCGGTCGGAAAATCTTCGGGAAAGGCCTTCGCCCTTCCCAAGGACTTTCCCTTACCAATTTCAATACGTTCTCCCCAATAAATACGAGGACCTCTCGACCGGGAGACGTTAGTTAGCAAGTTTTCCTCCGACTCTCAACGTGTTCATATTTCTGTCTCATCCGTCACTCGTTTACCTTTACCTTCTACACACTGTACCTCATCGCCTTTTGTTACAAGTTATATTAAAGTTCTCGTTATATAGAAACCAAAAAAACTCTCTCGGATTATTTTATATGAACCGTCGCAGTAACCCCTGCGACAAGATATATTATATTAATTGTCTATATTATTTTATATTATTAAAAATTACTAGAATCGTTATTATCATTATTATTACTATTATTGTTTGGCTGCCGTGTCGGCCAGTCGCCTCAAAGAAAAGACCAGCAAAATCGGTTTCGCACACCGTCTTACGAGCGTCGCGCGTATCGTGTCGTTCGTACAGACAATCTACTATCGCGCCGGCTGCTGAGAGAGTAATTCATTTTTAGGCGTTCCGCAGCGAAAGGATTAACTATCTCGTCATCCGACAGGTTCATGTAAACGGAATTCTACCGTAGAATAGTTCGAGACAATGGAATCGTCCTTTAAAAATAAGAGAGAGGTAAAGAATCTGTTGATCCAGTCTGCTCGGCTCAGCTGTCAGTAAACGATTAACACGTTCCGTGCCACGTGTACCATCTCTCGTGCTTGCATGTTTACTTAGTGAACTGAACAAATTGTTTACAAGAAATTTAGAACCGAAGAATCAATTTCCACCGCAAGAATGGGCGTTGATAAGTTTTTGTTACGTTGTTATGTGTACGAGAATTAATAATTGCACGTAATACATCAAGTTTTAGTAAAATATCAAAGGGTGAAGATTCGAGTAAAAAAGCTCGGCACGGAACGTGTTAATAATCAGCAAAGTTTCAACGACAGCGGCGTACAAAATTTTATAAACGTATCCCGAACATGTATAAACGTGTCTGCAAAGTTTCATGAAAACACCTCGTTCAATTAATTCGGAACAAATTGCCATACTGCGGTCTCTGTTCGAGCGCAATAATGGGCACTTTTTAACAAGATGCTTTACAAATTTATACAGCCCGTAAAAATTCCATAAAAATTACCATCGATTTTCGTGAAAGTTCAAGTTCCAAACTGTTTTCGTACACTGTCTTTCCTGCTAGTTGCGAGAACTGGTTGGCGAATCTGCTGACATCCGAGTTCCCTAGTCCGAAACCGCTAAAAAGCTGCGACGAAGTCGAACACTGGTCCTGCGTTCGACCCGCTGATTCTATAGACAGTTCGATGGGAAAGGAAGTTCCACGATCGGCTGCCGGGCCCCGTCTGACGTAATTATAAAGTTGCCGGGTCTGACAGCGGTCGCGGGCTCGTGTTATCCTGATCGCGCAGGAATCTATCCGGCGTTTTCCCCGGGATCCCATTAAACCGAGATACAGGCCTGATATCGTAGATCCGCGAGTTCACGCTGAGGCGAGAGAAAAGTTTTTAAGGCCTGACGGAAGCACGTCACGTAATTTCAGAATCAATTTCGAAACTGTTCGTTTCGATCCGATAAATAACGCCTCGGCGAAATGGGCTCGCAAAAACGCCGTTGCGGTACGCAATATTGCGTAATCAAATTCGAAAATTCATTTTTCTATTTGCATTTTTTGTATATTTTTTGCTTCGCATTTTTTTTTCGTAAATCAGATCACATTTTGTATCGCGTTTCCGTGATTTTTACGATGATTTAACCCTTAACCGGACGATGGTGAATGGATTAAACAAGTCATCGTTGATGCACAGTAAGATTCGTTAATATAATTGTTTAAAAATTCATGTCTATACGTATATAATATATAATAATATTATATATCATAATATATAATATAATATTCTGGTATCGAAATGTTCCATTATCTAATCACTGTTTTATTTAGATATATTATCGCCTAGTAAAATAAAAGACATAACTTTGAATTAAATTTTTAGATAATAGAATGTTTTGGTATCAGAATATGACAGAAATAAATCTAATAAAGAGAATCTCTACCGTGATCCTCTGTTAACTCAAGTTTGCAATGGTTCACCGAAAATTTGCTGTAACAACAACTGGCAGTAATCGACAGTCCGGTTAAAGGTTAAATAAACAGACGCTGGTGAACCTTATTTTGGAATGTCCAAAGAATATTCGGTCATGTATAGTGCCCAAAGCAATTAAATTGCGGCTGCCGTTTCAAGTTATTACAACGTGGCGCACCTTAGTTTTAGTTAGTTTCCACTTCACCAAAGAAACAGCACAGTCGGCGATCCCGCGATTAATCTTATCGGACCTTATGTTTTTTTAAATACGAATTTTGCAGGATCCGTGAAATCCGAGAGGATCGCAACGAATCCAATATTGTAACTTCCGGTTTACAGAAGAAATTGCACCGCTTCCACGAAACCCGTGCGCAACCGTTGCGCCAGTTGGACCGATGTTTTAATATTTTTCCCGGGTAAAAAAGAAGGTCCTAATAAACGAAGCGGTTGCGGGGCTGAAAAAGCACGGAGGAGTCACGTCCGCGTCATAAAGCCAGCCCTTAACGCCGTTTTTCAAAGTGAACGTTATCCGTTTTAAGTTCGCCGAGATAAAAGGAAATCTTTGCGTTAACAAAGCTCCCGAAGCTTTACGCCCCACCCCACCCCTCCCCGTGGGAATACTTTTATCTTTTCGCGCGCGTTTCCTGAAGATTTAGCACGCGCGCGGTTAAAGGTATTTCCGCCGCTGTTCTTTTTTTCTCTGCTTTTTTGTATCATGCTCCCCTAGCCGCGGCTCCCTCCAGTCATAGCGAAACCATTAGCCGTTGAGCACGCGTCCACGCACTTTTAATTACCGAAGCCCTCCTCGCGTGTAGAAAGTTTACGACCCGGCGCCATCTTTGCTCCGGAGTAATTGCCTCGTATATTTCTTGTCACTTTTCGTCCCTTAGACAGCGCCGCGATTATTCTTCTTCCGCGACCGCCGAGAGTGACCGAACCGTCTCTGTGCCACCGGGACCGTATTAGGTCCTGAAGAAATAACGTATGTTCCTTTGTACTCTTCTATCGTACGGGCAAATTCACCGATTCGTATGAAGAAGGTTAACACGTTGAATGTCACGCCGGTTTTACGGAAATTGTCCGTGGCGCCACGATGAATTTTCTTTTATGCGATACATATAATGATACATACAATGATTAGTTCCAGTGACTAACCATGTTTGACGTGTTAATTGCGACGGGGATCACTATTCGAATCGACGATGGTAATAATACAAAATTTTAGATATTGACATTTGTTTTAAATTATATATATATATGACCGGCACTTAACTTGGCGGTGACGCCATGGGGGCCACCGGTGACCGGCAC